CATGTCACCGACAAATGTTAAACAGCACCGCTCTGAGCACCAACCCTTGAAGAACACGACTTGTCACAGGTCTCCATTTGGACATTGAGCTTTTGATCAATACTCCTTGAGTGTGACCAGCCAGCCCATTCCTTACCCAATGATTGGTCCATCCATCAAATCCGTGTTGTTCCAATTTGGATACCAGGATGTCCTGAGGGACAGTGCTGAAGGCTTTGCACAGGTCCAGGGAGATGATGTCGGTTTCTGTTTGTCCACCAATGCCATGAACATGGTGCTGCATAGTAATTTTCTTTTGGGTTTTTCCCCTTTTGCTTTTAGACTGATTAGGGAGGCATCAACTTTCTTTTGCTCATTCTATTTGGGTATATCAACAGGCACATGGAATTGCACCAGTTCAGTGCTTGTCAGTACTGAAAAACTTAGGCTAGCATAAGCACAGAGCATCAGGAGCAGCATACCTTTCAAAAGGTGACCCTTTTGGAAGTCACTGTCCTCCTCCAACTGCCATGGGAATGCCTTTTCATTCCTTGATAACAGCTAATCCAGTCAAATAGGATTATTAATTCAGAACAGCTACATCTGTCAGGCTTTTTCTCTGTATAGCTTCATTAAATGAGGGTATGATGAGTATTGTTATCTTAATACTCTTAAAGAGCACGGGTGTCATGTCAGAACTTGCTCAGGCTAGCTGTCAATTCCTTCCCAGTCCTGGCTGTTTTCCAACTTCCCCAGCAATTCTTTCATCTCTCACTTTACCTATCATCATTACTCTCACCCTTTCCCCAGTAGAGCATGTAGCCATACCCTCCTCTTCTTACCTCTGAAGTTTCTCACATCACACTTGAGATATGCAAATCTCTTAATAAATCGTTTCTATATTCAGCATCATTTTAGTGTAGTGAAAGATGCCCTTCACCTTACTGAGATGTTAGATTAATTGCATCTGTGATGCAGCACACATGATCTGTGGAAAATTACAAAAGATCCATGCAGGGAAGAGGATTTGGTGATTCATAGGCATAATTTTTCTGTGTGAAAGCTACTGGCACAACCAGCCCACACTATGCTAATACCTTTATTATTGTTGTTAATGACCAGTTTATTTAGAATTTATTTTGTTGTTGACTGATGTTTTTACCAGAGCTGGTACAGATAGCTTTCCAAGACAAAGCATACTGCATTTTCTCTGCATTTCTTCACTTCATAGCAAATCAGATGTGACTGTTCTGGCAAACAGCCTCATGATGTCTTTGGAGGTGATCCCTGCCTTTGGAGATCTGTGATGGGCTGGAAATGCCTGGAGTAGTAGTGGTGCAAGCCTTGTTTGACATGGCAGTCTTCCAAGTCCTCCAGGCTTCTAAAATCAAGGTTGATCTTTAACATAGTGATAAAGATCCCTTTTTCTGAGACTTAACAGCATTGTCTACTATCTTGGCTGTGGATATTGTAGCATTGAACTAATGTCATACGAAAAAAACCCAAAAAACAAACAGAGCCCTCCCTCCCCAAGAAGATAGTCAGAAAAGAGTAGAAGCAGCAGTTTAAAGGGGTTATACCCTCTAAAAGCAGGGATGGAGGGATATACAAGACATCCTTCCCCCAGCGAGGAAGCAAGGGAAGCTCCTGGAGATTGCTGTAAGCCAGCAGTATACCTCAAACACTACAAAATTAGGAGGATCACAGAGAACCAAGAAGTCCTATGTGCTTCCCCTGCAAGATCCCAGCCCGTTTCCTGTCTCGGGGGGAAAAGAACTTGCCCTCTCATTGTGGCAGTCCCTGACACAAGCAGGATATTTTTCATTACCTTGGGCAATGTAGTTTTTAAAGTGTTTGCTGAAATCTGTACTGTTCAATAAAGCAACCATGGTTATATTTCTAAATGTATTTTCCCATTTCTTAATAATTTTATACCTGAATCTGAATGTGTTGGGTGAACAGTTGTCTCAGGAAAGGCACTTTCCTGAGAGGTGGTGGGTGCAGTGGGTCTCTTTTTAGGAAACTGGACATTGTCACAGTACAAACCCTTTGTTTGGCACAGTTAACATTTGTGCTGTGGAGGAATGGAGCACAGTGAGAGAGACCAGGTTTTGTAGGCTAGCTCTGTGTGTGTGTGTGTCAAGGTTAAGTAGCTGAAGTTTAAATATCAGTTGCCTACAATGGTCACTCCACTTCTTTGTAAAAAGAAAGAATGAAAATCATCATAATTGGAGGGGAAGGAAGGTGGGTGGTGGTGACTTTTGGAGAGTGAGAGTGCACAGTTCTTAAAGGGACAAGACAGCATGGTTATGGATTCCTGCAGGAGACTGAGGTGATGACCCTTCTCTAACCAGTAAGGATGTGTCTGTAGGGTGCTTTTTCTTTACTGTGATGCATTTTGAAACCTGAGAATTATTTGGGTCTTTTGCAATGTGTAGTAGTTAGTCACAAAAGCTTAGGAGCATCTTACAGTAAGAAGAAAGAGCAAACTACTTGTAAAGGAAAAGGGAGAATTTTGGGAGGAAACAAAATTACATAGATAACATTAATGTTTTTAGAAAGACCAAGGGAAAGTGGGTTGCATTAGTAGGAATGAGGAAGTGGAAAGTTAAATCTTAAGACTTTTTTTATTTGTTATGGAATGTTAGGGTGATCTCTGATAGTCAGCACAGATCAGGCAATTCAGGGAGTGTTCTGACCACTGTGGTGATCTGTAATGAAGAGCATCACTTTTTCTTGTTTGTTTTCTTTTTTTAAGGGTACACGAGAATTTTTTTGTTCTGCAGACAGCAGAAAACTCTACCACAGTTAGATTAAACTATATAGCATACAAATAGTTTGTGGCTCAGTTAAAACTTGCTTAGCTGCAGCTTTATCTTGTTATGCTTTTTATTCTTGCCAAACTCTGTCTCGATAATTTGTAGTGCTGTGCTCAGCTTCTCTCCACTTCCAGTTGAATAGATAAAGTGTCTTTATGACAATTCTGGTTATAAAGTCACTGTACTGTCAATTCTTTCATTTTCTCCCAATGTATTGACAAAGCAATTACAGAACATTGGCCTAATATGATAGATTTGCAGAGTGAAAGATTTTGCTAGGATTGTAGGAAATTATTTTGTCAGTTTTAACAGAGAAGGAATTCAAATGACAGAGTTTTGTCTCTTTGATCTCTGTGGAAACCTGCCCAGCTACTGGGCCTCAGGAAGATCATTGTTCCTACCTGCCTGACTGGTGAATGATCTGCCAATTGTGTCTGTAAGAAGGCACAGGAAGGTCCTGGCTTGGCTGAGAGTAGGAGGAAGCCTTGGGAGGAGTCTGTGTCCTGAAGGGTCTCTGAAGGACAGATGGCCTGGGCTGAAAAATGAGACCAGGACAGAGGCTTTCCAGATGAGAGCTTGTGCTGGCCTTAGTAGTGGTGGCAGATTTTTACAGTAACAGCTGGAAAAACTAGAGCACAGTCCTATTCATGTTCTGCAGCAGACGCAAACTCCTGCCTGACTTTCTTCTGCTGCAGGAACATCCCTGTGAAACATGGCCATAACCTTGTGTGGGGTTGTTCTGCCAGGAGAATAGCATCCTGCTGGTTTTTGTGCTGGCTCTCTCCGAAAGGTTCCTAGCCATGCTAAGAGAAAACTGACTGTACTTGATGGAATTTGTGCTTTTACTGACTTTCCTTTTTAGAAGAGAAGAAGAAATCACTTTTTTTTTTTTTTTTTTAAATTACAAAATCAAGACTTTAGAAGTTGTGATCTTCCAGGATTAATAAACTCAGTTTAAATTTGACATATTTGGTACAGCACGAGAACAGGTACTGTGTTCCTCTAGAGGATTCTTGTCTTCTGCAGCTGGAGCTTTGAAGAGGGATGAAAAGTAGCCTGCTACAGTGTGCCTTGTGTTTCATCTGCTCTACAGACTGAAAGGTTGGGAGTTGATGAGGTTGGGGATTGTAGACAGGGAAGAGTCATGGTCTTGAGGTTCCCAAGCTGGATTTCATCTCTGCCGTAAGATCCCTTTGTAAGCAGTGATGTTTTTCAGCATTGTGTCCCTGTTGTCCTCTGGGATGCTTTTTTTTGGGCTGTAGGGACGTGATGTAATAGTCAGCTGCTCATGTGAAGTCTCTCATGACAGACAAACATGGAAGTATCAAGTTTAGGAATGGGCAGACAGCCTTAATTTTACTGCTTACTGATTTTTTTTGAGAATTAGAGTTTGTGCTGTAAAGTCTCCTTGAATACAGGGGGGTGATGACTGTGTGCTGTGTGATTAGGTATCTGAGTGCTTAAGGACACCTGCTGTGTGAGCGTTTCTGGGATATTTAATTAGAAATGGCAACATCAATCTATTAAAGCAATAGCTTGTTTACTTGTAAGGATGCTGTGTGTAGCTTACTCTATATGCTGTTTGTGAGAAAATGAGTTAAAGGAACAGCACACTGAGGCCCACAGTTGTTTTTACCTCTTACAGGAATTAATTTCATGGCCTGTGTGTAGGACTTGTTAAAAACTGCCTTCTGCATGCAGACCTTCCCTGCCAGCTGCTTGCTTTTCAGGGAATGTCTCTAGTGTAGCAAGATGTGGCAGTGAAAACAGACACTGCTGTATGAAACAGTTTTGATGATGGGTAAACACAACTTCATCTACACTTCCTGTGTGTCTGAGAGTGGGCTCAGGAAGCAGACATACTTATGTTGTGTTTTTGAAGAACTTTTCCCCCCACCTTTTGTGTTTGGTTTTTTTTTAATTTGCAAGAGAGACTTTTTTTATTAGATATGGAGGTGACCAGAGCAATCAAGCTTGGACTTCAGATGAATGAAGTGACACTAGATCTCAGTTTGATTAGAGAGGCATGGAAAAATGAAAATTGTTTTCATCAGCTCTGTCAGTTAAGCATATGGTGATGCCTAGGGCGTGAGTAGCATAGTGCATTGAAGATTAGTTTGCTATCAACTTCATATTGCTCATTCAGAGCCCTACGAATGTTTATTATATAGCACTTGGTGATCTTGGAGGTCTTTTTCAACCATGATGATTCTGTGGTTCTTCCAGGTGTTGGGCAGAGCACACTGAGATGACAGTGCAAAAGGCAGAGCAGGGAACACGTGTCAGTTCACTGCTGTTCCCTGCTCCATGTCCTGTCTCAGACTTGGGCTTTGGCTCTGCACAGTGTCTCCTGTCCCTTAGATGTAAAATGGATGCACTAAAATTGACTTGCTTTTCAGTGAATTTGCATTTGATCAACTTTAATTTTTACATTCTTGCATAGAAATAACTAAATGGTGTTATTTACCAGCTGTTGTACTGTTTCTTTCATAACTGAATGGAGTTCTTGAGTGGATACATTGTATCTTAATTACTGATTGCATACCAGCTTTTGGGTTTCTGCTTTCTTCATGTAGACATTTCTGCATGGCAGCAGTTTTCTGTTAACTAGGATGTATTACAGAACTATGCTCCTGGATTAAATATATCATGTTTTTATTGTCTCCTTTGGAGTTGACAACAAATGGAAGCAGACGAATGTGGCACCAGGAAGGGACATTGGGAATTGCTAGAGTGGTGTGGGTGTTACTATTTAGCTTTGCTCCTGCTGTGGCATCCTGGACAGGAACCTGACCTGTCCCTGTATCCTTCTTTCCCTGCAGGTATTGAGAACCTGCCATTTGAATTGCAGAGGAACTTTCAGCTCATGCGAGACCTGGATCAGAGGACAGAAGGTGAGGATTAGGGATGGGTTTGTGGATGGGACAGGAAGTGTGCAGCTTGGCTGGCTGTTCTTTCCTTTGCCTTTCCCATGGGAATCTCAGGGCAGGGGAGGAGGCCTACAGCTGCTCTGATCCTTCTGTCTCTCTCAATGGCAGGCACTGTGGTGTGTGTCTGTATTTATGTATTTAATGGCTAAACTTGTTTCAGACCTCAAGTCGGAGATAGATAAGTTGGCCACGGAGTATATCAGCAATGCACGGACTTTGTCTTCAGAAGAGAAACTGGGGCTTCTCAAGCAAATCCAGGAGGCCTATGGGAAATGCAAGGAGTTTGGGGACGACAAGGTTCAGCTGGCTATGCAGACCTACGAGATGGTATGAAGGGAGGTGTCTAGTGCTTCCTGTACTGTACTAAAGCCCTGAGTTCTGGAAGGCCTTGATCCCTCTTCTTAGGCCCTACTCCCTCTTGCTTCTCAGCTCTTAGTGCAAGCCCTGTGCCCTCTCCTCTTTGTCCTCATGTCCTGTGGTAACTCCAGGTCACTGTCATCTCTGCAGGTTGATAAGCACATCCGGCGGCTGGACACCGACCTCGCTCGCTTCGAAGCAGACCTGAAGGAGAAGCAGATAGAGTCCAGTGACTATGACAGTTCTTCCAGCAAGGGCAAGAAGAGTGAGTACCACCACTGGGCTGCAGATTGATACAGCAGGCAGCCAAGTGACTGTGGAAGTGGTGGGGATGAAGGCGGGCACTGGACTGGTACAGATCACAGACTTTTACGCTGGAATCTGAAGGACAGGTAAAAAGATGGTGACCTGGGCTCTTCTTGTGTGAGCATAGTCAAGGCTGCTAGATAAAATTAAGATGGGGTGCATGGCCCAAAGCCAGTATACACTCCAAAGCATTTTAGCGCTGGAGACGTGGTTACTCTCAGGTGTCTGTTTCAATGGGGTGGCAAAATCAGCACCTTTTTCTCTTCTTACCAGAGGGCCGAGCCCAAAAAGAGAAGAAAGCTGCCCGTGCTCGCTCTAAAGGGAAGAACTCTGATGAGGAGGCACCCAAAACTGCCCAGAAGAAACTGAAGCTTGTCCGCACGTGAGTTAAGAGATTTTGAGACACTGGCACAGGTTGCCCAGGGAAGTTGAGGAAGACCCCTTCCTGGAAGTGTTCAAAGCTAGGCTGGATGGGGCTCTGAGCAACCTGGTCTAGTGGGAGGCGTCCCTGCCCATGCAGGGAGGGTGGATCTAGAAGATCTCTAAGGTCCCTTCCAACCCAGACCATTCTGTGATTCTGTGATTTTGGGGGGTGAGGTGCAGCACTACAAATCAGACAAAGGAAGGCCCAGCCAGACTTCCCTGTAAAGGATCTGATCCCCACTCAGACCAGTTGGTGTGTCCCCTGTTGCTTCTTGAGAAGCAGGAGGCAGGAGACCTTTGAATTCTTTCAGAGGAGTGTGGCATGAAGGGGAAAGCAGGTCACTTCAGTAGGGTTGGGTGTATGTGCTTCAAAAACGAGAAGTAGCTCCAGCAAACAAGGGCACTGTCATGGGAGTCATGAAGGGACTAAATCCAGCTATTTTGCTGACCTGCTTTATTCCTGTCCTGCAGTAGCACAGAGTATGGGATGCCTTCAGTCACCTTTGGAAATGTGCACCCCTCAGATGTATTGGATATGCCAGTGGACCCCAATGAGCCTACCTACTGCCTCTGCCACCAGGTCTCCTATGGGGAGATGATTGGCTGTGACAATCCAGATGTAAGAGCCTGCACTTGATGCAAGTGGGGGGGAGAGGGGGAGGGAGAATTTTCCTGGGAAGTCTTGTCCTGCTTGGGTGGGGTCTGATACAGCAAGCAGTGGCAAGAAGAGGGCTTATCTCAGGTAGTTAGGAAGGGCAGAGGGGTAGCTCGCCATGACCCATTAAGTGCCTCTTTCTTTCTTCAGAGTTTTCCTTAAAATGACAGGATGTTTATTTGCCCCCACGCTTAGCAAGGGAGAAGGGGAGTGCTCCTGTCTAACAATGGGTGTGAGTCTTCATTCCCTGAGCACTACTAGGCATTTAGGAGTTTGTGATCAAATGCTGGGAAACTCCTGTAGCCCAGAAGCAAGGATTTCAGAAGAAGACTGCTCTGTAACTGCCTGCTCTCCACCCCAACAGTGTTCCATTGAATGGTTTCATTTTGCCTGTGTGGGTCTGACAACAAAGCCAAGAGGAAAGTGGTGAGTGAAGAAACACCCTGGAGGGCCCACTGGTCTTTGGAAGGGGGAGGTCCTGGGTGGCAAAAGGGATGTACTGGATGTACAAGCGTAGAAGACCTTTTGAAAAGGAAAATTTGAATTAAGGTTTTGTCAGGAAAAGGTCCTTTGGGCCTGTCTGTTTTAGGTTCATCTTATGCCCTAAGTGCTGGCTTTTTACTTCCCTTTCTTTCAGGTTCTGCCCTCGCTGTTCCCAGGAGAGGAAGAAGAAGTAAAATCATGTGAGCCCTCAGTACAGCTGCAGGAGCTCTCTTCCCCCTGCCAGGGCCTCGTCCCAGCTCCCCCAGCCCCTGGGGCCTTGGCTGGGGGGAGCTTTGCCCTGTTTGTGGTTTGGGCCATCCCTGGAATGGTGTGTACCCTCACGGTGGTTCCTGTGTGTTCTGTATCCCTGGTTGCTTCCGAATCCCTGAGGGAGGCCCTCTCGGTGTACCATTCCAAACAGGTGTCTGAACCTCAAAGGGAATGAATGAGGGCACCAGGGTAGCCACCAGATTCCCAGGGATTCAGGTAGCCCCTGATTTTCCTTGGCTTTCCTTCAGCCTCCTCAGAGTTCCTTGTCTACTCTTTGCTTAAAGAACAAGGCTATGGGATGGGGGAAGGAAAGGAGGTAAGTCTTCAGCATTCTAGGTCTTTGAAGAGGGAGCAACCAGGCCACTTCTTAATCTCGTGGGCTGGTTGAGAGGCTGAAAACCTAATGTACTCCCTATCTTTAACCATTCCACTACTGGCATTGAGCAGCCTCTTTAGTTGGGAAGAGGAGAAGGGAGTGTTTAGAGCTAGTTTTGTCTCTCTTATTCCTGGGGTAAAGCTGCTGGTCTGAGAAGCACCTCGTGCGAAGGAGGAAGAATTTCTGACCACGTGGGGAGAACTGGCATGTTCTAGCCTGTCTTCCAGCTCCAAAATTCTGCCTTCCTCTTGTGCAGTGATGCTTCTCCATTATGTGGATGATGGGAAGTTTGGGGATTCAGATCCCGCTTGTATGATACAGAATTAAATACAATTCATGGAAACAAATGCTCTGTTTGCCTTGCTGTTCTCTCCAAAGTGAACCGTGGCAATTGGTCTCCTTAGTTACTCTTTCTCTCTCAGCTTGAATTTTACTCTAAATGATGAATGTGATACAGCTTGTCCATGTCACAATCCTGAACAGTGTTAAGAAGTGACACTGGCTGAAAAATGTACAGCTGGAAAATGTACCTAATATTCTTGCAAAAGGTTACTAAGCTTTCTAGTGGCTGTGAAAAATACCTGCCCCTTCAGTCCTGCCCTCACAAAGGGCTGGACATTTATTCATGTCTTTGTTGGATTGTTTCCTTCATCAGTTGTCCTGTCTCAGGTGGAGGTAACAGAAGGGCCAGACCTCCCTGTGACTGTTGGGAAGCAGAGCTGAGGAAGTTAAGTCATCAGGACAAACCAGGTGCATTCCAGAACGTGGGGAGGTTTTTCAGATACCCTGCTAACTTGCTCCCCAGTGGGTCACTTTCACCTTGTATCACCTTGTTGCCAGAAACTCCAGCTGTTGTTACTAAGATCACAGAGTTGTAGAATGGTTTGGGTTAGAAGGGACCTCAAAGATCATCTAGATCCAATCCCCCCTGCATGGGCAGGGACACCTCCCACTAGACCAGGTTGCTCAGAGCCCCATCAAACCTGCCCTTGAACACTTCCAGGGATGGGGCTTCCACAACTTCCCTGGGCGACCTATGCCAGTGTCTCACCACCCTCACACTGAAGAATTTCTTCCTAATGTCTAACCTAAATATCCCCTCTTCCAGTTTTAATCCATTCCCCCACGTCCTCCCACTACAAGCCCTTGTGAAAAGTCCCTCCCCAGCTTTCCTGTAGGATCACCCAGTGGGTGAGAAGGCTGTGGCAGGAGAACAAGTGTCTTAATCTGGGGCTGATCCAGCTGAGGGTGTATCTGGCAGAACAAAAGGAGGATGTGGTCTGAACCTGAAAACAGGCTTTGGGCAAGGTGCAGGGGTGGCAGAGTAATGCAAACACTCCTCTGGGTGGTTTGGTTTGGATGGGATAGGACACTGGGATGGAATGGGCACCATTACCTGCGAGGTCTGTTAGGAGCTGTGGGCCAGGGAAGTGTTTGAAGTGGTGGCTGTAACGAAGCCACTGCTGATGAAGTTTATAAAAGCCCAGGGTGTAATGTGAAAGTGGTGTGAGTGGGCAGGAGGGTATTGCATGGCAAGCCAGGAAACAAGGCAGCCTGTTCAGGTGCTGCACACTGCACAGGAGAGCTCTGCTCAGGGTGGCTCTGGCTTGGGAATCACCAGTCTCTGGTCTGGCCCAATCAGTGCAGGACAGTGAGAGTGGGAGGGAGACCAGAATACTGTTTTCAGGCTCAGGCTTGGCCACAGGGTCCTCGTTGTGCTTCTTGGGAGGCTGAGAATTGCAACATTGTCATGAGGCATGAGAAACACCTAGGCTGGGTTCTGCTTCAGTGCCAGAGAACAGTGGGAATGCCAGGTGGGAAGCTCCACTTGCCCACTGCTCTGCCATTGCATCCTGCTTTGCCCAACAAAGGGGTGATTCAGCCAGCAGTGTGGAGCAGTGAGGGGACGTTGGCTGCAGCTGAGGGAATGCTCTGCCTTGCAGGAAGAGGACAAGTTAGACAAAAATAAGGATGAAAATTGAGGCTGGCTTATGACTTATAAATATAGATGCAAATGAAAGGCCATTAAAAACTAACCTTATCATCTAGATCCAATCCCCCCTGCATGGGCAGGGACACCTCCCACTAGACCAGGTTGCTCAGAGCCCCATCAAACCTGCCCTTGAACACTTCCAGGGATGGGGCTTCCACAACTTCCCTGGGCGACCTATGCCAGTGTCTCCCCACCCTCACACTGAAGAATTTCTTCCTAATGTCTAACCTAAATATCCCCTCTTCCAGTTTTAATCCATTCCCCCACGTCCTCCCACTACAAGCCCTTGTGAAAAGTCCCTCCCCAGCTTTCCTGTAGGATCACCCAGTGGGTGAGAAGGCTGTGGCAGGAGAACAAGTGTCTTAATCTGGGGCTGATCCAGCTGAGGGTGTATCTGGCAGAACAAAAGGAGGATGTGGTCTGAACCTGAAAACAGGCTTTGGGCAAGGTGCAGGGGTGGCAGAGTAATGCAAACACTCCTCTGGGTGGTTTGGTTTGGATGGGATAGGACACTGGGATGGAATGGGCACCATTACCTGCGAGGTCTGTTAGGAGCTGTGGGCCAGGGAAGTGTTTGAAGTGGTGGCTGTAACGAAGCCACTGCTGATGAAGTTTATAAAAGCCCAGGGTGTAATGTGAAAGTGGTGTGAGTGGGCAGGAGGGTATTGCATGGCAAGCCAGGAAACAAGGCAGCCTGTTCAGGTGCTGCACACTGCACAGGAGAGCTCTGCTCAGGGTGGCTCTGGCTTGGGAATCACCAGTCTCTGGTCTGGCCCAATCAGTGCAGGACAGTGAGAGTGGGAGGGAGACCAGAATACTGTTTTCAGGCTCAGGCTTGGCCACAGGGTCCTCGTTGTGCTTCTTGGGAGGCTGAGAATTGCAACATTGTCATGAGGCATGAGAAACACCTAGGCTGGGTTCTGCTTCAGTGCCAGAGAACAGTGGGAATGCCAGGTGGGAAGCTCCACTTGCCCACTGCTCTGCCATTGCATCCTGCTTTGCCCAACAAAGGGGTGATTCAGCCAGCAGTGTGGAGCAGTGAGGGGACGTTGGCTGCAGCTGAGGGAATGCTCTGCCTTGCAGGAAGAGGACAAGTTAGACAAAAATAAGGATGAAAATTGAGGCTGGCTTATGACTTATAAATATAGATGCAAATGAAAGGCCATTAAAAACTAACCTTGGAAGAGGGGCAATAAGGGCAGTAACTGTGCAATATTTAATCACCAAAGGAGAAAATAAAAGAAGCAGTGGAATCTAGAAATGGTGATGTACAAAAATTAAGCCAGTGGGAGCAAAGCCTGTAAGTGACAAGGCTAGAAACATAAGGAGCTTTTTTTAGCATGCCTTTTGTTTTTGACAGAATTGAACGTGGCACGTGTCCATTAGCAACAGCAGAATTGCCTGTAATGAGAGAAGGGGGAAGTGTTCTGTAAATATTGATTCTGTGTTGGTACTGGTGTCATCTGGGGATGATGTACTTCCTAGACGAGCAGTAAGGAGGATTTTTTAATTAGCATATATTGGGACAAAGGCTTTTTTGATCAGCAGTCTTCAGTCAATGGTGTTGGTCGTCCTATGAAAACCACCTGAAGGCATCTGTGGGCTGCTGGCTGTCAGGCTCTGGGCAAGGCTGGGAAAGAGCCAGCTCTCTGCTGGCCCTTGGTGATGTCAAGGAGCCTGCTGTAACAGTCCAGATGTGAATACTGAAACAGCAGAGAAGTAAATTGCTTCACTCTAAAACAAGCAAGATATCTGGGTCAACAAAATAAAACCAGTTTGACTGGAAATAGAAAAAAAAAGATCCCTCAAAAATTACTTGATTTATTTTTATTTTTATGATCACTGTTCATAGTTACCTGTATCATTGTGGTGGCAATAAGATCTGCCATGTTTACTTCTCCTAGAACTGAAGTGCTTTAGGAGGGGGCACACTAAGTTAAATCATGGATTCCTTTAAAGAGCTGGCTGGCTTGCGGGTTTCCTGGAATAGCTGTCAGTGCAACACAAACACTTTCTAAAATGGGGCTGGAGAAACTGTCCTTCTAGAGTGGTTGGAAATAACCTAGTTGATGAGTAAAGTCAAGTCTGACTTTCAGGAAGCTAGAGCCATACAGCATGACAAGGGAGAAGTCTTGTCAGCCCCTTTAAGCCCATTTATTAAGGATAATTGGCCGTGCACACAAGTGACTGGTTTATCTTGTCCAGCTGTGGTTGCCCCACCTGTGGGCACCATTCCTAGGGAGCTGGGCAAGTGTGGTTGCTGAGGCAGTCAGGAAAGGGCTGCCCTTTCCCCCAGGCAGACTCAGCAAGCTCTCCTGCCCCCAGGCTCTGTTGCTGCTGTGTCAGCTGCCTGATGTGCAGGGAAACCTTCCCAGCCACGACCATGGCCTTGTGCCACCAGGATCTCCTCCTTAGCTGGTACAAACATAGCAGGTGATTTAACCAGCCCCATGTTTCAGCAACGTTCACCCTTGCGTTAAGTGCTCTTAAGATACTACCTGGACATTCAGAGCTGCGTGGTGGCCCAGCTCTGGCTGGCTCTGCTGGTTTAAGGCTTCGATGCTTAAGCAGAGCAGTTGAGGTTCAGTTGTGGTGTGTCTCAGTGGTACTCAGATTACAGAATCATAGAATCATTTAGGTCAGAAAAGACCTTTAAGATCATCAAGTCCAACCATTAACCCAACTCTACCAAGGCCGATGCTTAAACCATGTCCTTAAGCACCACATCTACGTGACTTTTAAACACCTCCAGGGGTAGTGCCTCCACCACCTCCCTGGGCAGCCTGTCCCCGTGCTTGGTAGCCTTTTCCATGAAGAAATTTCTCCTAAACCTCCTCTGATACAGCTTGAGGCTGTTTCCTCTCATCCTATCACTTGTTACCTGAGAAAAGAGACCAGCACTTGCCTCACTCCAACCTCATTTCAGGTAGTTGTAGAGGGCAATGAGGTCTCCCTTCAGCCTCCTCTTCTCCAGCCTAAACAGCCCCAGCTCTCAGCTTCTCCTCATCAGACCTGTCCCCAGACCCTTCACCAGCTCTGTTGCCCCTCTTTGGACACACTCCAGCACATCAAAGTCCTTGTAGTGAGGGCCCCAAAACTGAACACAGTCTTGGAGGCACAGCCTCACCAGTGCTGAGTACAGGGGATGGGGATCAGGGATCAATTCCTATGAGACAACTACTGCATAAATGTATTCTTAGAGTTTGAAACACTGCTTGGAAGGTAGCCCTGGAGGTCACCTGGTCCCAGTTCCCCTTCAAAGAAGGGCTGCTGTTGGTCCTAAATGGGGTCAGATGTAGGTGGGGTAGCAAGACACTCTCTAGCAGAGCAAGGTAGGATAAAGAGGAGCAGTTGCAGGACTCCAGGTGGAAGGTGGTGTTGCTGAAGATCTGAAGGCTCCACTCAAATGCTGGGCCAAATCTGCCCAGAGAAGAAAATCAGCAGAGAAGGAAAAGGTTCCTGAGAGGTAACTTGCATATACTGGCTGAAAATAAGACTGGGTCATTCCAGGATGTTTCTCAGAGCCATCTGTGTCCTGGGCTGCATCAACAGAAGTGTGGCCAGCAGGGCCAGGGAGGTGATTCTGCTCTGCTCTGCTCTGTTGAGGCCCCACTTGGAGCACTGGGTCCAGTTCTGGTGCTCACAGCACAGAAGGGACATGGAGCTGTTGGAGAGGGTCCAGAGAAGGGCCACAAAGATGAACAGAGGGCTAGAGCACCTCTGCTGTGAAGACAGGCTGAGAGAGTTGGGGCTGTTCAGCCTGGAGAAGAGAAGGCTCCTGGGAGACCTCACAGCAGCCTTCCTGTGCCTGAAGGGGGTACAGGAAAGCAGGGGAGGGGCTTTTTACATGGGTGTGTAGTGAGAGGACAAGGGGTAATGGTTTTAAACTGGAAGAGGGGAAATTTACGTTAGACATTAGGAAGAAATTCACCCTATAAAAAACACCTCACCCTACGAGGGTGGTGAGACACTGGCACAGGCTGCCCAGGGAAGCTGTGGCTGCCCCATCCCTGGAAGTGTTCAAAGGCAGGTTGGATGGGGCTCTGAGCAACCTGGTCTGGTGGGAGGTGTCCCTGCCCATGCAGGGGGGTGGATCTAGATGATCTTTAAGGTCCCTTCCAACCCAAACCAGTCTGTGATTCTATGGATACAACTGTTGGGAAGTGGTAGTTACAGGTAACAGCAGAACTGCTTTCCAAAGACAACTGAAGGAAGCTTCTCTGTTGCCTAATCCTTACAGTATCAGAAGAAACATAGCTGTTTTCATCAGATAAAATCTATTTTGTTTTTAAGTATCATCATATGTCTTGGTTATTTTATGCTAGTTTATGTTTGTTCTTCTGAATACATAAAAACAATATAGGTTTTTTGTTTTAAAAAGGCCTTTTTGCCCAAGTCTTAAGGACAGGAAAACCTGTGACAAACACTGTTCTCCTAAAGGCTCTGGGCAAAACAATGTTCAGCAAGTTGCCTGTTCAGCCTGGTTTTTTCAGAGATACAATTTAATTTCAGTAGTTTGAGTCTCTGCTCTTGAAGAAATAACTCATTCAAAGCTTAAAACCAGGCTGTGAGGATAAAAGGCTGGGGTTACTTTTAATCACAAAGACAACAAGCAACAAGTAAGGAAAAAAAGTGGGAGACCATGATAGTTCCTTGTTCTGGAAACCTAAAGCATCCAGCCATTGGTAGAATCCATTTAGTTACCACACAAGGAATTAGGTGGGAAAAGCTCTCTCTGGAGCTCTGAGGTCCAAGGTCCTTCTTGCACCAAGAGTAGCTCTGTCAGCTTCATCAGGTTGATCTTGCACTAAAGAAACCTGCCCAAAAAGACTGGAGCAGCCCATCCAAGGATGCTTTTATGAGTCCACTCTGCTTTGGGTTGTATCACTAAGTCAAGAAACCATTTTAAAATGCTGGTTTTTACAATCAATTCAATATTAAATTTTCTAAATGGCAAGTAAAAATAAATAAATAAATTTTAAATGCTTCATTTCCTAACAAAATAAAATGTAAATTAAGCATCTGAATTAATACATGATATAACTGTGCAGTGCTTTTATAAATGTGAATAGATTAACTTATCCACCAGGTTCAAATGAGGGCCAAATTTAATGTAAAGTCTATATTTATCAGCATATCTGCATCACTCCCAGCCAGTGGCAGCAAGCCTACCAAAATGAAGTCCCACTGCTGAATAAAGGTGATTTAACCTGTGATTAAAGTCAGCAATTCCTATCATTTTGGTTTCAAACAGCACACAGACTGATGCTTTTTTCTGTGGAGATGGAGGCCTTGGTCTGAGTGGGCAGGTACCCACATCCCTTCCCACAGGGAAGTAGCTACCAGCATGAAGGTGTCCAGCTGGGCTGGGCTCTTGGAGTAGATTCAGCTTCGTGGAAGACCTAGAGCTGCACTTGAAGAGGACCCTCTCTTGGCTGCTGTGCAATGACTCTGGTGGCTTCATGGCTGGGCTCTCCACTCTTCTGTTAGCAGCAGGTGGCAGCTGGTCTCAGCAGCCCAGGCCTGCTCTTGAGATGCAGCTCCACATCCTCCAGACGCAGGACAGGAGGACAACTCAATCCTTTAGACACTGGGATAGGGGCTCCTGTCTCAGCCAGTGGCTTCGTTGTCCCCCATCTCAGACTAACATTATTCCCATCTACCTTTCCTTGAGATTCTTTTAGATGTATGTTTTCGTAAATGAAGGTACCACAGTTTTTCTTTGATGCCCCGTAAGGAACCTTCTCTGCCTCAGGGTCTCTGTTGGCCCCCTCCTTGCTCCACCCTAACAGCTTCACAGGCAGAACTGCTCATGGCTTCCCCCATCAGCAAAGAGCTCAGTGGTCATTTTCTAGCAATGTATTGATACACAAACATCCTGCACTTCCCAGCACCTTCATGCCTGTACCAGCACTCTGGTGGTTTCACTCCAGCTAAGGTGAGAAAAGAGATTTAGCAGAATTTCCTTCCTGAAATCCTTTTTTTCCCCAGGTGTTTTTGGAAGTGCTTCTCTGTTGTCTCTGCTTACCCCCTGGATCCTGCTGTAAGAGCTGGCAGGGCTTGAGGAGAAGGCTTTAAACTAGAGTTGAAGGGGATGGAGATGTGGTAAAAAAGATGCATGGGTCACTGGTCAGTTAGTTACCAGGGGAGTGCCTGAGAGCAGCCACCTAGGACTTCTCACAAAAAAAGGGTGGGACCATCAACCCAGCTGAAGAGCATCTACACCAATGCACATGGTGTGGGCAACAAACAAGAGGATCTGGAAGCTGTCGTGCAACAGGGAAGCCAGGATATTGTCACCATCACAGAAATGTGACAGGACAAGTCACTTGACTGGAGTCCTGCAGCTACAAGCTCTTCAGAAGGGACAGGCAAGGTAGGAAGGGTGGTGGAGTAGTCCTGTGTGTTAGGGAGTGCCACCAATTCCTTGAAGTTCATGATAGTGACAACAGGATTGAATGTTTATGGGTAAGAAACGAGCAGCTTGGTGGGAGTTTGCTATAGACCACCCAGTCAGGATGAAGAGACAGGCAAAGTACTCTGTAGACATCTGAGAGAAGCCTCTCAGTCACTGACCCTTGTCCTTGCTGGGGACTCCAACTTCCCAGCTGTCAGCTGGAAACATAACACAGCAGAGAGGAAATAGTCCTGGAGGTTCCTAGAGTGTGTAGAGGATGACTTCTTGATCCAGATGGTGAGAGAGCCTGCTAGGGAAGGTGCTCAGCTGGACCTGCTGTTGGTCGACAGAGATGGAGGATGTGGTGGTTGGAGGCCACCTTCGGCACAGCGACCATGAGGTGATGAAGTTCTCTGTTCTTGGAGATGTAAGAAGGGTCAGCAGAACTGTCCCCTTGGACTTCTGGCAGGCAAACTTTGACCTGTTCTGGAGACTGGTTGATGGAGTCCAATGGGAGGCAGTCCTGAAGGGCAAAGGAGTCCAGGAAGGCTGGACATTCCTCAAGCAGGAAGCCTGAAGGGCACAAGAACGGGCCATCCCCTGAGAGACAAGCCCAAGAGGAAGGCTGGGCTGGCTGAGTAAAGTATCTAGCTGCTACTCATGGGAAAAAGGAGACCATGTGGCCTCTGGTACAAGGGACAGACAACTCAGGGTGACTGTAGGGATGTTGTGAGGCTACACAGGGAGAAAATCAGGAGGGCCAAACCCCAACTTGAAATTAATCTGGCTGCAGCCATCAAAGATGGCAAGAAAAGCTTCTCTAAATAGATCAACAACCAAAGGGGGGCTGATGAGAACCTCTGTCCCTCATTGGATGCAGGGGGAAACACAGTGAGCAGGGGTGAGGAGAAGGCTGAGGTACTTAATGCCATTTTTGCCTCAGTCTTTAGTAGTAGGACCAGTTGTACAGTAGGTACCCAGTCCCCTGAGCTGGAAGACATGGATGGGGAGCAGTTTGAAGCCCCCATAACCCAAGAGGAGGTGGTCAGTGACCTGCTACACCACTCAGATACACACAAGTCTATGGGGCTGGATGGCACATACCCAAGGGTACTCAGGGAGCTGGCAAAAGTGCTCATCAAGACACTTTCCATCAATTACCAGCAGTCCTGGGTAACTGGCAAGGTCCCAATTGACTGGAGATTGGCCAATGTGACATCCATCTACAAGAAGGGCTGCAAGGAGGATCCAGGGAACCACAGGCCTGTCACTCTGACCTCAGTGCCAGGGAAGCTGATGGAGCAGATCATCACGAGTGCCATTATGCAGCAAGTGCAGGATAACCAGGTGATCAAGCCCGGTCAGCATGAGTTCAGGAAGGGCAGGTCCTGTTTGACCAACCTGATCTCATTTTATGACAGGGTCACAAACTTATTGGATGAGGGAAGGGCTATGGATGTTGCCTACCTTGACTTTAGCAAGACCTTTGACAGGGTTTCCCACAGCATTCTCCTAGAGAAGCTGGCTGCTTGTGGCTTGGATGTGTCCATGCTTTGCTGGATAAAATCTAGTTGGATGGGTCCATAGAGTCGTGCTGAATGGAGTTAAATCCAGCTGGTGGCCAGTCACTAGTGGTGTTCCCCAGGGCTCAGTGCTGGGGCTGCTCTTGTTTAACATCTTTATTCATGATTTGGATGAGAGGACAGAGTGCACCCTCAGTAAGTTGGCAGATGACACCAAGTTGGGTGGGAGTGTCCATCTGCTCGGGGGCAGGGAGGCTCTGCAGACGGATCTGGACAGGCTTGACCAGTGGACCAAGGCCAACGGCATGAGTTTGAATAAGGCCAAATGTTGGGTCCTGGACTTGGGCCACAACAACCCCAGCAGCACCACAGGCTTGGGGAGGAGTGGCTGGAGAGCTGCCCAGCAGAGAGGGACCTGGGGGTGCTGATTGACAGTGGCTGAACATGAGCCAGCAGGGTGCCCAGGTGGCCAAGAAGGCCAACTCCATCCTGGCCTGCATCAGGAATAGTGTGGCCAGCAGGACCAGGGAGGTGATCCTACTCCTCTACTTGGCCCCGGTGAAGCTGCACCTTGAGCACTGTGTGCAGGTTTGGGCACTGCAGTAATAGGAATTACATTGAACTACTAGAGCATGTCCAAAGAAGGACAATGAAGCTGGTGCAGGGTTTGGAGTGTGTGTCTCATGAGGAGAAACTGAGGGAAATTGTGTTGCCTGGTCCACAGAAAAGGAGGCTGAGGGGAGACCTCATCAGTCTCTGCAACTACCTTAAAGGAGGTTGTAAAGAGGTGGGGATTGGTGTCTTCAAGGAAGTTACAAGTGATAGGACAAGAGGCAATGGCCTCAAGTTGTGCCAAGGGAGGTTTAGGTTGGATGTTAGAAAGAATTTCTTCAGTGAAAAGGTTGTTTGGCATTGGAACAGGCTGCCCAGGGCAGTGGTGGAGCCACCATCCCTGGAGGTGTCTAAGTGTAGGTGTGGGACTCAGGGATATGGTTAAGGGCTTGTCACTGTCAGGTTTATTGTTTGGACTCAGTGATCTTGAAGGTCTTTTCCAACCAAGATGGTTCTATGTTTCTGTGATCTCAAATTACTGAAGACACATGCTTTCTAGGAAGGCTGGTAGACAGAGCACTGAGTATGGAATTCACACCCAGCCTCTGTAGCCTCCATTTCATGAGCTTCTTGAGCTGATCATACATCCTTTCACCCCCCCCAAATTAACTCCCAGAGCTGACACAGTCTAACAAACATTAGCCATTATTCCTTTGGTTAAGACCTTTGTGTGCCTGAGTGGGCACCTGTCTTGGCAGGTCAGATGGATGAGGAACCAAGCTACACACCTCTGTGACCTGGCTCTGCAGCCACCCTTTCCCAGCTGGTCCTTCACTCACTGGAGCCAAGGCCTGGCTTGGCAGAGAGGTGCTACAGCCAGGTCAGCCTCTTCTGGCTGGGTTTGCCATCACTGCTCTTGGCCCTTAGATGTCCCAGGCTGAGAGGTTGTGCACCATGCATGTCCCCAAGGTGGAGGGGAGACAAAAGGTTGGGGGAATGGATCAGCCTGTCACTCCAGGATGGTGATATTCTGGATCCCTCCCCTTGATCCTATGATGTCTTCTAGCAGCCTGATGAAGGAAAGGGCAATATAACCCTGGTAGCAGAGAAGGAAAAGTCTGTGAGCCATGATCCTGGGGTTTTCAAGGTTTTCAGACATTGGTGTGTGTGGTGGAATGGGTGGAATGGAAAATGCTGAGAAATAGAACCACAGAACCATGGAATGGTTTGGGTTGGAAGGAACCCTGAAGATCACTTAGTTCCAACCCCCCTGCATGGGCAGGGACACCTCCCACTGGGCCAGGTTGCTCAGAGACCCATCCAGCCTGGCCTTGGATTGGTAACTGGGGTATTGGAGACAACGACAAGACTAACTGGGAAGAGGAGCTTGTCTGCAGAAGGGAGGTCCCTCACAAACCAGACAGGCTCTTCCAAAGCCCAGAACTGACGTGGCAATCAGACATCAACGTGGCAAACACAGCTTCTCCTCATGTACGAGCAGCAAGCTGTGACCCTGCTGGGGCACGTACCTGCTGCTGAAGTGAGGCACAGCTGGAGGCCTGGGCTTACAGCTGCAGGTACCAGCCCACCAAGCTTAGGCTGGAACAGGAAAGGCCATCTTGTGGTGGCCCTAAAAACACAGCAGCACATCTGCAAATTGTGCAGCTTGTTGTGCCCCTTGGGTGGTGCAACCCTGACAGTGCCAAGTCAGCTCTCAGGAAGCAGAGCCCACTGGTACCCATCCCCCCTGTGCTGGGCAGTGCTGACCACTGTCAGTGCTTGATGCTGCAAACCTCCCCCAAAGATGGCTTATTTTCTGGTGGAAACTTCCAACACAAGTGCCCCGTGCCCAGCTGGCACAAACCAAGCCCAAGAGCACAGCAGTGTCTTCTGCACTGGCAGCCTCCCAGCCCTGCTGGGTGCACACACCCCAGCCTGCCTGGCTTCTCTGTGGCCTTGGGGACTGTAAGAGTTCCCAGGAGGAATGTGGCAATCTGAACCAAACCCAGGGTGTGCCACAGTGCATGGGGCGTGCTAAGTAGCCAACCTGTCCTCACACCACTGGCCACCTTCTGTCCAAATGTTCAGCAGCTCCCCACAGGCCTTGCTACGAGAGCTTCAACCAGGGATGACATTTTTGACAGGTACTTCACCTTGTGTTTGAGCTCAGTGCACGTCTGGGGACCCTGGTCACTCACTCTTGCCTCCTGTTTTCAGACGCCATCAGCCTCTTGCTGGCACGTGCAGATGGAGGCCAAGCAGCCAGGCCCTGCCAGGCACTAACAGCACTGAGAGACATGCCAGGACAGTCTGCTTTCCTGGGTCACTCACTTCCAGCAGCCACTGAGCTCAAAATTGAGCTCCTCTGGAAAACTGCTCAGGTCAGGACAGCAGAAAGCCTTGGCTCATGGGAGAGCAGCAAGTTAACAGAGCTGGGAAGCTGAAGGCCCTGGAGTTGCCCAAAATCAGCTGCTAAGCAAACCATCTCAAGCTGAGCAGTGGAAGACTGGGAACTGGTAACAGAATTTGCAAGCCCCAGGACTGTTGCCTGATTCATTGTGGGTGGCAAAAGCTGGCTGAAAAATGTCTCCTGCTCACTGTCTTGTTAAAAAGCTACCAAACCACCCTAAAATTCAGTGCTGTTTCAGTCTTCTCAGAAACACTATCTTCCAGCAAGACATCTCAAGCCTACACCTTGTCTCCTGCAAGACCCACAGAGCTACAGGCTGTTGACAGACCCCTTTCTGGTGGCCTGCACAGTTTAGGACAGAAGCAACTTCTTCAGCAGCACCAGGCTGTGCTGCTCTCTGCTTTATCTGTGGCCCCAACCAGGCTGGTTCCATGGGCTGAGGCCACTTGTAGGAGGTTCAACAGGGCTGGGGCACAACATCCCCAGGCAACAACGCTGCAGGCTTGGGGGAGAGTGTCTGGAGAGCTGCCCAGAGTAAAAGGACCTGGGGTGTGTTGGTTGGCAGGGCTGAACCTGAGCCAGCAGTGTGCCCAGGTGGCCAAGAAGGCCAACACCATTCTGGCCTGCATCAGGAATAGTGGGACCAGCAGGACCAGGCAGGTGATCCTGCCCCTGTGCTCAGCACTGATGAAGCTGCACCTTGAGCACTGTGTGCAGTTCTGGGCCCCTCACTGCAAGAAGGACATTGAGGTGCTGGAGTGAATCCAAACAAGGTTCTGCTTTGGTTTGATGGGATTTTTGGTAGCAGGGGAAGGGCCCCAGGGGTGGCTCTGGGAAGAAACTGAGAAGCTGCCCCTGCTCCAGACCCAGCCAACAGAGATAAGATCTGAGCTAAGCGAGCAGTTAAGGGAGAAGAGCTGAGCTGGAGGGGCAGAGATGCTGGTGGTTGGTGAGGAGGAAGGGGCAGAAGGTGCCCAAGCAGCAGTTTCCCTGCAGCCCATGGCGAGATGGCAGCTGTGCCCCTGCACTCATGGGGGAACGTGGTGGGACATTCCCTGAAGGTGCCAGGAGGGGGGAACTTGGCCCCTGGACTTGGATGTTGTGGCCAGAGGATTTGCTGCCAGTGGGCTCTGATTGCTCAGCTGTGGAAGCCCCCGGGCCAGGGGAGGTGGCTGTTCCCGAAGCCCCCGTGACTCTGTGGGAAGCCCAGGCTGGAGCAGCTCCGGACCTGGTGGGAAGGGCTCAGGAAGGAGAGGTTGGTGGAGGCCTCTGTGCCATGGGAGGGACCCCGTGGGGAAGCAGGGCAGGACTGGCTGGGGGGAAGGAGGGAGAGAAACCGGGAACCGAGGGATTGGGGCCCGGGAAGAAGGGAGGGGTGGGGTAACATCTGCAAGCCCTGCTCTGGGTGTGTCTGTGTCCTGGGGGGGTGTGATTGGTGTGGAATTACATTATTATTTTCCCCAAGCTGAGTCTGTTTTGCCCAGGCCCTTAATCAGTGAAGATCCCTCCTTGTCCTTTGTCTGGACCCAGGAGCTTCTAGTTGGGCTTTGTCCTCCCCATCCCAGGGTGTGTGAGGCGGGAGCTGAGTGAGAAGCCATGGGGCTGGTTCTTTGCTGTTGTGTTGGGCCCAAAACACGACACAAGGGCATCCAAACTGATAAAGGGTCTGGAGAGAACATCTTACAAGGAGAATCTGAGGCACCTGGGGTTGTTCAGCCTGGAGAACAGGAGGCTGAGGAGAGACCTCATCACTCCCTACAACTGCCTGAAAGGAGGTTGGAGCAAGGTGGGAGTCAGCTTCTTCTCCCAAGTTACAAGCAGTAGAACAAGAGAAAATGGTCTCAGTTTGTGCCAGGGGAGACTTAGGTTGGATATTAGGAAGAACTTACTCCTCAGAAGTGTTGCCATGCACTGGCACAGGCTGCCCAGGGCAGCAGTGGAGTCACCATCCCTGGAGGTTTTTAAGAGTCATACAGACCTACTCCTTAGGGATATGGTTTAGCTAAGGACTAGTCAGTGTTAGGTTGATGGTTGGACCCAATGGTCTTAGAGGCCTTTTCCCACTAAGGCAATTCTGTGCCCCTGTGCCCCTGTCACCCAGCCAGGCCTCCCATGCAGCTGCAGGTTGTTGCAGCTCCCACCCCATGCCCTGCTCCCCCCGAGCACCCAGTGCCTGGTACCTCCCATGTCCAGGTGTTCCACCCCAAATATGATGCCATCCCCTTCCCATTCCACTGCTGGAGCCAGGGCAGACCTTCCACCTCCCTGTGTTCCATCCCAGCTGTGATGCCATCCCCTTCCCCTTCCACTGCTGCCTTGCCCTGCTGGAGCCTGGGGCAGACATGGGGTGGTTGCTCAGCCTCATGGGTGAGTGGCACCTGCCCCAGCCTCTTCCCACCCTCCCAGGGCCACCCCAGGGTCTGCTGAGCACAGGGAAGGTGGGAGAGGAAGGGGCTGAAGGCCAAGGAGGGAGGGCAGGAGCTGGAGGGGTGTCCCCGTGGAGGGGCAGGGTCCCACCCTGGTGGCTGCCAGGGCTGGGCACTGGGGCTACCAGGTCTGCAAGGTTTTTATAGTCAAATAACCAAACCACCTACAACAAAGACAATCCGTCCCCTGAACCAGACCAATAAAACCCAACTGCTACTCAACCCCCCCAAAAAAAGCCTCCAAATTTTGAATTTCTTGTGTTCTTTTTAAATTTTTTTATTCGGTTTTTCCCTCTTTTTCTTTTTATTTATTTTTTTTCCTCTTGTTTCTTTTGTTTGGTCAGTTTTTCCCTCTTTTCTCATCTTTTCTTTTTCTCTCTCCATTTTTTTACTTTTCCTTTGTTGTTTTTTTTTTCCTCTTTTTGCCTGCTTTTTCAATCTTTCCCCCCCCCCCTTTCCAGCCAGGGCTCCTGGCTCCCCCAGCTCAGCAAGGGGAATAGAGGGAGACCTCAGGCCAGCTCAGCTCACCCCACCAGCTGGGCTTTCATTCCCACCCAACCTCCTGCCCCTGCTCAGGAGGGTGAAGCACAACCTGCCTCCTCCCACAGGACTGCTGACCTTGCTGGTGTCCTCTGCTGCTGCACCTCTGTTGCTGCCTGTTCCGGGCACCCCTCTGACAAACTACGAGTACAAGATCTTCTTTGCTGCCCTGAAGAGAGGGAAGAAGGTGGAGATGACCTGCCAGCTGCGCCAGGCACAGGGCTGCCTCCACCCCACCATCGTGCAGCTGGACCAGGATGAGAACCACGGAGCCATCCCAGAAGGTGGGGGCATCACCCCGTGGGCTGGGACACGGGCAGGGACACAGCATCCCAGCTGGAGCTGAGCTGCTGGCTGTTGGTCTGCCCCAAAATGCCACAGGGTCGTGGGAAGGGGGGGTGGGATTGGTCAGTTTTGTAAAGGGGAAATTCAGGTGAGACTGCAGGAAGAAATTCTTCACTATAAGGGTGGTGAGACACTGGCACAGGTTGCCCAGGGAAGTTGTGGATGCCCCATCCCTGGAGGTGTTCAAGGGCAGGTTGGATGGGGCTCTGAGCAACCTGGTCTAGTGGGAGGTGTCCCTGCTCATGCAGGGGGGTTGGATCTAGATGATCTTTAAGGTCCCTTCCAACCCAGACCATTCTGTGATTCTATGATAGGATTCCATGGTTTTGGAGTCTGGAGCCCAAAGTTCAGCTTTGAGTGGGACATGCCCAGTGCTAGAGCACTGTGGCTTCATGCAGGGGGTGTGGTTCTGTGGCCTCTCTGGGCACCCTTTCCAGTGCTGCACCACTTTCCTAAAGGCCACTCCTCATCTCCCAAGCAGGAATTTGCATGCTTTGCCCTCTTGTCTTGTCTGGCACTACCGAGAAGAGTTTGACTTTGTCATCTTGTAGCTTTCCTTCAGGTCCCTGCTAACTCAGCTCTCCATCTCCCCTTCACCCAGCTGAGTATCTGCAGCTGCCCAGGTCTGTCTTCACGGGTCACAGCCTGAAGCCATGGCCATTTTGGTAGCCCTTTGCTGAGCTCCTCAGTTTCTCCACATGTCCATTAGTGGGGTGGCACAGGAAAAAAACCCAACTGGCTCCAGTTTTCTGAAGCTTGCTGAGGTTCCTCATGTTGTTGGGAAGCCAACAACTCATCTTAAAAGCTGACCAGCTTCTTCCAGCTTGGTCTGGGGTTTAACACAGAAGCTTTGCTCATGAAATCTCATGGGCCTTTAAGAAAGCTTGAGCTAATAAGCTGCTTTAAAAAGTGTTTAACATTTCAGGAGCCAAGAAATATCCTAATTCAGAAAGCACCATAGCAACATCACCCTTTAAATCTCTGCAGTCATACTTTCCCTGTACCCCTGCACCAGAGAATTTAAGTGGCATAATTATATCTGTGCAGCTGAAAAACTTGGGACTACTTCTGTTGTATTTTTCTTCAGAGGGAAAAAAAAAAAAATAGGAACAATTTTCTCATAAAAAATATGTCTTTATATTTAGCTGTGAACGTCAATGAACTTAATGATCAGCCAACTGTGCTCATTTGGACTGCAGTTTGAGGGCAACTATTTCTTGCTTGTTTCTGCAGCTGTGTCAGGGGAACTGGTCCCAGCTCCCATCACCAGAGCCTGGGATGGGTCCTGGGCTCCTCACTCACTTGTGGGCACCTGCAGCCCCTGATACCTTGGTGCTTGGTGCATTCAGGTGCTGTCTCTGGTTCCTTTCCTGCTGGTTCCCAGCATCTTGGCACTGCTCTTTGGTGTACCCAGCCACACTCCCATTGCTGCTGCCTTCGAAGGCTTGTGTGCCAAGAGCAGGTGCACCTGGGAATCCCAGGAGACAGAGCAGTTCTGCAGAATGCCATTTTCTCCTCCTTTTCCTCCATGCCTCAGCCCAATAGACCCATCCATCAGACTTCATTCTCTTTAGTGTTCCCTTCTTTCCAGTTTTGGGACTACTTTGGCAAGTGTTGCTTGCCAGGTTGAGAGGCCCAGCATGTGCCATCACATGTCTTGCCTCTGCTGTCCCCACAGATAAATGGCAGTGCTGTCTAGGTGCAAATATTCCTGAGCACTAACTGTGCCTCTTCAGGTGTGGTGCTGGGTGGAAACAGTTACCTACCTTGTGGTTTAGACAAGAGAAGCCTACACACAACCTTTCAACACTCTTTGTTGTGGGAGATGAGAGTCAGGAGGATGCTTCCTGCAAATGTCTTGGCTGGCTCATCTTTTAGTGATGATGCAATTGTTAATTCATTGCCACCCACCCCCTCTGCCAGGAGCTCCTGTGCGTGGAGTTGGTGACAAAGCCCAAGGGGGTGGCTTCCTGGCACTCAGCAGAAGCTGGAGCTGTTTGCAATCAACACACGGGCAGGGAGAGCAGAGCACAGAGGCAAAAGGTCATATTGATTCAAGCAAGCAGCTGGTGCTGGGAAGGGCTGCACTTGGCAGGAAGGTCAGAGGGTTGGAAGAAAGACCAGTGTTTCCATACCTGAGATGAGCTGAGAGAAAGGAGGAGGCAGGGATCAGTGCTGCAGGAGGCAAGGGCTCATCAGGCCAGGCCATCAGTGCTCAGCAGGCTATGGGAGAGCTGAGCCGTGGTGGAAATCAAGAGATCAGCAAAGACAGCCCATGGGAAACTTTATCTGTGGCAAGTACTCCTTTATTTCCCAGATGCTGAAATGAAAATGTACTTTTTTCCTCCCCACAGCCCAAAATGGAAAGTCTCTGTATCATCAGAGGAGCAGTTTGTGACAGGACAGAGCAAGCTCTCATGCTCCCAGCCTTCCCTGGCATCTGCTGCTGTGGAGAGCCAGACTAATGCTGGGGTTAACAAGTGGCTGAGCTTCCTTCCCTGCCCCACAGCAGCAGTGCTCCTTGGCAGGGGGTGGCTGTGTGATGGAGGGTCACTCTGCAGCTCCCAGTCCACATGCACATCCACCCTGCCCCAGGCAGTGTCCCCTGCATCCTGGAGGCACCTCATAAGGCACCACCAAAGGAAAGGGAGGGGAGTCTGGCTTGTTCCCTACATGATGGGTATTCTTCTGGGCTACGATCCTAGTGGATACCTGAAATGCTACCTTTGCTGGTGAATCTGTATGCTCAGCACAAGAGAAGAGGTGTGTACATGTACGAGGTGATGTACAAGCAGCCAACAGCAGAGCAGTGCAATTCCACTGCTGAGCTCCTCCATCTCAGCCAGGGCTTGACCTCTCCCAGGGTTTTCAGCTCCCATGCATCACCTTGGCTGCCCTGCAGGCACAGCAGGATTTGCTGAGCTGCCTCAAGGCTCTGGTGCACGTGTCCAGGCACAGGCTTTGGCAGCACCATCTGGGCCTTATGGGCTTTTCCCTATTCCCTGCATGGCTGGATTCACTGTCAAACCATTATGCACAGAAGAGGTTGTCTCCTCTGCTTTCTCAGGCCCAGTCTGGTGAACTTTTTAACGCATCACATCACTACTTCTCTCTTTTATATATATATTTAACCCTTTAAAGACTAATAACCGGGTCCTTCCCAGGCTCTGGGAACAAGAGGTTTGTGTCTCTGTAGAAGGGAAGATAACCATGCAAAAATGGCCAGAAAGAAACCCTGGGTGCTTTGGAGAGAAAGTCTATGTGGCACCTGGGACTGGGAACTATAACAGCACCAGGCTGTGATCTCCAGCTGGGGACAGACAGCTTTGACTTGCTCTTCAACCACAAGCCTCTCTGAAAACACCCACCTGAGAGGTCCTCATCTCTTGTGGTGCTCAGGCCGAGGGGGCAGGTGCCCGAACCTGTGTCCCACCCCCATCCCACACCTGTCTCTCCTCCTCCCGCAGGGCCAGTCTGCTCTGCCCTCCCAGAGGCCCCTCGGTTCCGCTCCTTCTGCCTGTTTGCCCAGTACCGCTGCCTCAAGCGCCGCTTCTACGTCAAGGTGGGGAGCAGGGCTCGGGACATCCCTTGGGGAGGGGGGAAGGAAGATGACACAGCAGGACTCACGTTTTTCCCTCTCTCCTCTGCCCAGCGAATCCCGTGTTCAAGTGTGTACCCTCGTGCTTTGGGCCGGGCAAAGGACAGACGCTCCTCTGTGGAAGAAGGTATGGCTGCCCTGAGCTGCTCTGCCTGCCTCTGCTCCTCCTGTAGCTAGTTCCCCCATGCCAGCAGCTCCCTGGCTGGCCTCAGACAGGTGCCCTCAGTGCCCCCGTCCTGCTCTCTCCCCAGCTCTGGGGCAGGCTTCTCTCTTGCCTCCCGACGCCCTGCTGAGTGCCAGCACAGGCACTCCTCTGAAGTCCTCTTATGCATCTTCCACCAGCCACGACAGAGGCACCAAGCTCCCTAGAGCTGCCTGAGCTTCAAGAAACCCCTAGCCCCTCGACTCCTGAGCTGGAATCCCCTGACCAGGCCAAGCAAGACTGGGCACAACGCCTGCATAACAGCGTCTGGCATCTGGTCCACTGGACCTTCTCCTTGGAGGCATCCACGGCCACTGAGGTCTCTTCTCCGGCCCCTGACACCAAGGCAGAAGCAAAGAACACATCAGCCAGCCCCAAGGTGGAGGTGAAGGAAGCAATCCCCCGTGGCAGGTGAGAGGAAGGCCCACCTGCCTCCCAGGGAGCCCCCACACAGGGTGTCCATGCAGGGCTGTCCTCACAAGCCCTGCCTGGTAGCCCCCCAGCACTCCTGCCCTGCCCCGGGCAGCTGGGGGTCACAGGCAGGCAAGCTGTCCCACCCAGAGTGGGGATGCACCCAGGGAGCCCCTCAGATACAGGTGAGAGGGTGACCCAGCACTGCCTGTGCCTGGCAATGTCACTGTCCTTGCATCCTGAGCAAAGTGCCTTGAGGTTGGGCCTCGGCTGCAGGCAGGGCTTTATCCCACATCTCCACCCTGTGACACCTGCAGGGTGCAATCTCCTCTGCACCCACCCTCCTCCCAGCTCACAGGAGCCTGGGTGACCTGCAGAAAGAGCACCCTTGAGAGGTTGCAGTAAAGATGTGTCTCCCTGTACCCCTCTCCTCTCTGCCTGCCATGTCAGGCTCCTGTTTCTTTCAGCAGCCAGACCTGAGCAGGGCTCCTTCACACACCAGGGTAGAGCAAAGAAGCCCTGGGTTTCCTAGCCCAAAGCAGCCCTGGGTTTCCTAGCCCTGGGCTAGGAAGCAGAGCTGGGAGCACAGAGCCCTGCTCCTGCCTGTGCAGGGCCACTGCTTCTCCACCAGCTCATGCACCTCTCTGTGCTCTGCATCCATGCATTGCTCTTCTGGGGGGGTTCTGGCTCCCCGTTCTGGCTTTGAAAGAAGCTGCACGTCAGCTCAGCACAGGCTGCAGTCCTTCTACATGCCCTTCTTAGTTCCACCAGCCTAGAGATGCTTTAGGAGCTTGTTGAGCACTTCTCAGCTGCTCTGCCAGGATCCATTCACCTCCAAGCTCAGGCAGCTGGGGTGGTGAGGCTGGACTTGCAAAAGAATAGCATGTTTTCACACAAAATTACTCTTCAATCCTGTAGTGCTTTGTGGCTGAGGACCACTTGCTCTGAGTGAGCTGCAGAGATAATTTTGCTTGCCAAGAGCAAAACAAAGAAAGAAATAAAAATGCTGTCTTGATGTGGTTCTCATAGAGAAGTTATTTAGCTTTGCTCTGTTGCTGGCCAGTGACATCCCCAGAAGTGCACAGGTTTTGTGGCTGACTGCACATCTGTGCTTGCTGTGGAACACACTGCATGCTGCTGCAGCTGAGCCAGAGATCCCACCTCTGCATGTAAAAAAATTCATTGCATTGTGTTGTTAAACCTGTAGCTGTTCTCTTGCAAGGCTGTAACTCGTGTCATCCTCATTCCTGATACTGTAGGAAGCTCCTACTGCCTGGCAAATTTTTCCTTGGTGTTCTATACTCTTAAGAAAAAAATCTGTTTCATTGAGGAGATGCTTGTTTTTCCTGCCTCTGAAAATTAAACCTTGCTCTGATTTAGGTATATTGGGATTACTGAGGGGCTGCTGTGATTGCAGATGACACTCACCAGTCTGCTGCAGAGCTTCTCCAAGATATTCAGGCTGGCTGTGTGTGTAACCTGGCAGCCAAGCCCCATCCATCATGCTAAACAAAGCTTAAGCTCAGGAGAGGATAAAAAGGTGATATAGACCATGCCTGTCAGCTTTGCTGCTCCCCACAGCCCACCTCCTCTCAAAGCATGGCCTAAAAAGGGGAGGAAATGCTTTGAGCAAGAGGAGCAGGGCTGGGTGGGACTGGTCTGTGACAGCCCCTGAACCCAGGGGGGAGTGTCTTCCCTAGGGTCTCCTGTCCAGCAGGACATCCCTCCCTTCTTGCTCACCCCTGCTTGTGTCAGCTGCTCTGGTAGCCCTACCAGCTTTCCTGGTGCCTGATGGAGGGAGCTGTGACCTTTAGAGAGAGACATGGCATTGGTAGCAAAGGAACAAGAAGAGCTGGCAGCACACTTTTGGGGTCTCTCTGCCACCAGCCAGGCATTGGAGGGGGGAAATGAGTGTCTCTTACTGATTTTATTTTCAGGTTTTAGTCTTTACTGTGCTTGCTGCCCCGTTGATTCCAGAGTTGTTTATTTCACAGTATTTCCTCTCCTCAGGGCTGGGGCTTGCAGTGAGCTGGGCAGAGCTCCACTGCTCTCATGTTAGGAAGCCTGTGCAGCTCATCTGCTGCAGCCACTTTCAGTGTCCCTTTGACCCACACGCTGCAGCTCGGTGGGCACCATCCAGTGGCAGGTTTTAGCAGCTGGGTATGCAGAAGCTGGTCAGCCTCTGCTCCCTTCCTGTCTCTTCTGTTTGCACACAAGAATTGCATTTGCTCTTTTTTCCCAGAGTTTCCCAGCGTTGAGTTGTTTGTCCTCTCTGACCCCTGCATCACTCCCAGCCTCCCAGATTCCCCAGATACAGGCACCATCCTGTCGGTGTCTGTGCATGGATGTTCATGGGTTGAGTCAGGCCAGCTTCCCCAGCAAGGCTGAGCTGAGCCCTCCCTGGTGGCTGCACCCTCCCACTCCTGCTTTACCCCCCCAAAAGAGCCCTTATTGTCCTTACATCCTTCATCCCCAGGGGCTTTAAGACCTTTGTTAAAATACCATCCCCCCAGAAAAAAACACTCCCTTCAAATCATCATCACCCAGGAGCAATTACTTTTTCTTCCTACCATGGGTCTGGGCATGCAGGATGGGACCCATTTCTCTGACACTTCTCAGCTGCTTTCAGGAACTAGCTGTCACTTGGGAATGAGGTAGAGGTGTCTTTTGGCCAAGGAGCAATTTAGTGTCTCCATATTGCTGCTGTGAAAGGGGAGACATGACAAAGCAGCTTGTCTTCTTGCCACCAGGCCAGAAGTTCAGGTGCTCCCAGGAGTCTGGAAATCTCTGAGTCAGGGGGCTGTCCCAGAGGGGCAGAGGGGGGAAAGGCTGCAATACCATACAGGTCAGCATGAGAGATTTACAAAACACAAATGTTCCCACATGTTGTGCCCTCCAACCCTTGGACAGGTGTTCTGTTCCTGTACTCCCAATGGCTCCTGGGTTGGGTGACCTGCAGACTTTGATCTCTGAGGCACCCAGCCAGCCTGTCTGCCTTCTTGGCATGCAGGCCAAGACCTCTTCTTCTTTCTCAAGCTGTTAGGAATGGCTTCTTCCTTAGTGGCTTTAGTTTCCCACAGATACCCTCCTGAACTGGAAGTTCCAAAGTGCTGGCAAACTCTTGTTTGCTCCTTCCCTTCATTTCTGCTTGTCTCAGGTTCTCACTGCCCCTCACACAGCCAGCCAGTACCAAGGATGTTCAGCAGCTGAAGGTTAGTGGCCTAAATCCTTGTCATTAGGTCAAAGGAGAGGTGAGTGTTGGAAACCAACACTCATCAGAGGTGACACCGAGGTGGGCTCATGTGTATCGCTCCGTGTCTTGAGATGCTAAAGCAAGACAGGCTTTTATCTGGAGTTGTCTCTTCTTACCTTCAAGAAGCTCTTGTTCTTGGCCCATTATATTATTTTACATTCCCTTTGAGACGTTGCCTCCCAGTTCTGCAGAGAGCAGTGCCAGAGCACTGGGAATCACTGGGAGAGGAAGCAGGGACCCCTCACCAGCCAGTGACGAGCCCAGGACCTGTCCCTGGGTCTGTTGATGTGAGGTCAGACCTGGTCCCCTGACGCTTCTCAGCCGCTTTCAGGAATGAGCTGTCACCTGGAAATTATGCAGATGTCCCTGCCAACCCCTCACATGGGGTGGCTAACCCGGGCATAAATAGGCAACCATGAGGCCAGAGGGCCCCACAGCAGAGATGGAGAACAGAGATAGGGGAGGAAACGGATGTGACAGGGCAACAGCATTTCTTGGTAACCTCAGGCTGATGTCACAGCTCAGTTTCCTGGGTGGGTGAACAGAAGTTATGGACAACAGTTCATGTGAATCTGCACGTGTGTGTCATGGTTTGGGCCTAACCCAGAGGCAGAGAACCAGCCCCAGGCTGCTCACTCAGCTCCCCCCTCACACACACCCTGGGATGGGGAGGACAAAGCCCAACTAGAAGCTCCTGGGTCCAGACAAAGGACAAGGAGGGATCTTCACCCATTAAGGGCCCGGGCAAAACAGACTCAGCTTGGGGAAAATAATAATGTAATTCCACACCAATCACACCCCCCCAGGATACAGACACACCCAGAGCAGGGCTTGCAGATGTTACCCCACCCCTCCCTTCTTCCCGGGCCCCAATCCCTTGGTTCCCGGTTTCTCTCCCTCCTTCCCCCCAGCGGCACAGGGGGACAGGGGATGGGGTTTGGAGTCAGTTCACAGGCTGGGGGTTCCTGCTGCTCCTGCCTCCTCAGCAAGAAGGATTCCTGACAGTCCTGCCCTGCTTCCCCACGGGGTCCCTCCCATGGCACAGAGGCCTCCACCAACCTCTCCTTCCTGAGTCCTTCCCACCAGGTCCGGAGCTGCTCCAGCCTGGGCTTCCCACAGAGTCACGGGGGCTTCCACGTTCCCCCATGAGTGCAGGGGCACAGCTGCCATCTCGCCATGGGCTGCAGGGAAACTGCTGCTGGGGCACCTTCTGCCCCTTCTTCCTCACCAGCCACCAGCACCTCTGCCCCTCCAGCTCAGCTCTTCTCCCTTAACTGCTCGCCCTGCTCATCTCTTGCCTCAGTTCTTCCATATGTTAATGGCAGAGGTGCATCTCTTGTCCCTCCAATGGCTCCTTGGCTGGGTTTGGAGCAGGGGCAGCATCTCAGCTTCTTCCTGGAGCCACCCCTGGGGCCCTTCCTCTGCTACCAAAACCCCACCAAACCAGCACACAAGTTCATGTACATCTGTGCCCATGGCCAACAGCAAAGTGCCAGTGGGGTTGCATAGGCAGGTGAGGCTTCCTGATCTGTGTGAGCCCCTGGTGTCAAGCTCAGGCTATAAATCCAGTTTGCCATGCAGCAGAGGCACCTGCTCACCTCAGACTTGGCAGCTGTTCTGAGCAACTAGGTCACCAAGACCCAGCAGATGTTTTATCACTACTTATGAGCTACTTATGGAAGCAATCTTGGTAGAGAAGACTGGAGCTGAGTTCCTTTTTGCTGCTGCTTTTGCCTATCATTCTCCATTTGCATCTTATTTGGGCTGCAGTTGTTAGACCAGTATGTGTGTTGGAGAAAGAAAATACTGTTAGACCCATTAATTAGCAGTCGCTTTCTGAGCTCAGCTTGTTATTTATTTGCTATTTTTAAAAAAGTGCAGCAAGCTGGACAGTTTTCATATTTTTTTTCTACCTCAGTGTTGAAAACACCAGGGATATTAATATCATTTTTAAGGACTGTTCATGTGTCTCTCACTTGACTGGCTTGATCGTCCTGGTGTCCATGAAGAAGCAATCAAATCAAAACTTCCACTGGAATAAAAAGGAAGTAGTGGAACAATAGCCAATCATTACATATTTGTGGATAAATTATTTCAGAGAAGTTAGGAGACTGAAAGCTGTGGGTGCCATCAAGATGACCCAGCCAGTTTGCCAAATCTTGACTGTGAAGACCCAACTGTGTGTAAGCAGGCAAGGTGGCAAAGTCCCTTCAGCTGTCACAGATTTATCAGCAAAGTGGGCCAAACACTTGCCCTCCTGGGCTACAACTGCTTAAGAGAGAAGCTGTCAGTGTTAGGTAATCCCCACACAAAGAGCAATCCTTTAGGGAAGAGAAGTGCTGGGTGTGCCTTGGGAGCTGTCACTGGGTCTTCTCTGAGCCCTGTCCAGCTCCCTGACACAGAAAAATGCTGAGAGGGTTGGATTGAACAACCTTAGACAAGATTTTCAAGTGGGATGAGCACAGACTTTTTTGCTCTAAATTTAAAATTTCCTGGTTTTCTTGGTATCCTAAGAGGCCTGAATGTTTACGTGGGAAACAAACAAAAAAAAAAACCACCCAAAAAGAAATTGGATCATGTGGAGTCATCGGATGGAGGAGTGGACATAAAGGATCTTACAGGTTCTGGAAGTGCTCCCTGCAGGGCAGGTGGTCTTTGTTTCTCTCTTTTACTGGCACATTTTAACTTCTTCCAGCTTTGCTTGAAAGAGTTGGTACCAGTCACCTCTGTCCTCAGTTTGCATTTTTGCATCCTTTTGAAAAGGACCTAGCACTCAGTGTCTTTTCTGTGGCTAAGATGTCCCAGGTTCTTTTTTAGCTGTCAGAATCAGGGAGATGCCTTCAGAGATCCTGCCGTGCCCATTTGCTGCTGGTCAGTGTGAACTGCTTGGGTACTGGTTGGCTTGTTCCTGACCTGCTGCAAGCACAGAGCACGTGCTGGGAGCTCCTTCATCTGTGTGTGTGGCAGGGCCCAGGGGTCTGTTAAGAAGATGCACAAAACTAGCCATGCCCAGTGAGCCTTGAAGGAAAAAAATGGTATCGTGGGGCTGAGCTAGAGACCCTTCCTCTGAAAGAAGTTTGGGACATCTTTCTGAAGTCTCCAAGCTGTGAAGGAACCACCCCATGAGTTGCTCCCATGTTAAATACCCTTTGTGTCAGGAATGTGCAGCTCATCTCTGATTTGGGTGGATGTCACCCCAAGTTCCAGTCACCAGAAGTCATTACTCTTCCATCTACTGACAGACTGACTGACTGCACATCTAAGTGAAGATTTCTTAGCTTCTCACTCTAGGTGCAAGTTTCCCAGGTCTTAGAAAATCTCATCTTCATGACCTTCCTCCAGGTTCATCACCTCTTTTTTAATTTTTTCATGCTAATCTGAAGGTCTCCAAGAAGTTTCAGCTACTCTTAGGAGAACTTGGTCATATAGGTTAGCCCCTGCATGTATTTTAAGAGCATTGTAACATAAGCAATTGCTGCTCTTCTTACTTCCTGCCAGATCAAAGTTAGTTCATTTATCACTGGTGGTTTTGTTTCCAGGCACAGAAGACAAATATTTAATGAGCATTTTTACCTCTTCTACATCATTACTGAGAGTTGATACCAATCCTGTCTGTAACACTTCTGCACCACATCTACAACTTCTACTATTCCTGACACACAAAATATTCTTACAGTTCTTACCTTGCTGTCCTTAAATGTTCTACCTTTAGCTTCCCATGTTGGTTTAGTTGAAGAGTTAATTCACTGTAACTGATTTTTTCCCCTTTCTGTCAAATGCTTTGGCTCAAGCAAGAGGGAGGCTTGATAAGCCACATACTCCAGGCCCAAAAGGGGCTGCCCCGTGGTCAATACTCAGCAGACCTCTAACAAATTCCTCTTTGCTGTACACTCAGATGGACAAAACTAGGCAGCAGCTGCTGCAGGGTCCTGAGGAAAGTTCCTCAAGCTGTGGTCCTCATCTAGTCCCCTTCATGTGCTCCCAAATACACACACACACACCCCCTCCATCCTGTAGCCTCCACGTTATACAGGCAAGTACAGACTCTGCAGACACCCCTGTTCTACCATGCCAAGAGTCCAAGGTTCCTTTGGGTAAGGTTTTTTACTGTGCTTTGGGCTTGTTTCCCCTCCTTTCAGTTTTTAAGTACAGGTTTATCTCTTCAGCTTGTACCAAGACATGCAACTTGCCTTTCCCCATCCCTTTTCCTGTCAGCCTTTTAGCCCTGAAGAACGCTGAGGCCGTGATGATCCTGTGCTATGAGCTGCTGGAGGGAAACTGCCTCACGTCGTTGCTCACAGAGCTCTGGAAGGAGATAGAAGCAAAGATCCTTGGCTTTGGAAACGAGGTACAGACACTGATGTCCACCCTTGGCCCCCACGGTGTGCAGGGCTCCCTGCAGTGCTGACCACAAGGTTCCCACTGCCGGAGCTGGTCAGCACTGCCCGTTCAGATGCCACCTCCTTGGAGAAGCTGACCAGCTGCAAGCCAGGGATGTAGGAGCTCCTTGGTCTCTTTTCCTCCCTGACCCCCCCGCTGCATCCACCCCAGGTGTGTGACAACCTGGGGCGGCGCCACATGGACCTGTGCCCCAACTGCGCCTTCTGCTCCCTGAAGAGGGAGCAGTGCCAGAACACCCGGAGCCTGCACCGCGACCGCTGCAAGGCAGGCAGCTTCATCACCTACATCAACCCTCAGATCCTGGCCCAGCGAGGAGGCAACATGGTACGGAGCATCTCTGCGCTCACAGCCAGGCCCTGAGCAGGAGCCTGGGCGCGGCGGTGGCAAGGGGGAGGCAGAAGCACAGCTCTCTTTCTCCCACCCCTCTGCAGACCAGCTCCGCGGGGATCTCCGAGCACTTGGGCATGGAGTTTTTTGGAGGGCTGAGGATGGAGTACTGGTGTGGCCGGATGGCCACCCATGGCTGTAACGACCCTCTTGTGGCCCTCTGGCTGAAGGCAGAGGATGCCACCTTCCACGACGGAGATCGCGCCGAACCGGTGGGTGCCCACTGGGTGCTCCCATCCCTCCCTCTCCTCCTTTTTCTCCCGTCTTCATTCCCATCTTCCCAGGTCTGCGACTCAGATGGAATCCAGCACCCCAACTACTGCGCGTTCAAGAGCCACCAGTGCCTGCAGAAGAACCTCTACAACCAGAAGGTGAGAAGCAGCCTTTACACAGCCTTCTCCATGGCTGGTCCTTCCAGCCAGCCTCAAGTCCCTGCAGGACTCCCTGGCCCGCTGCTTGTCCCTCCAGGAAGACAGAACTGTGTGTGCTGGGGAGGTGTGACAGATAGTGACAGGAGCACAGCTGGCATGTGATTGAGGCAGTGGGGCTTGCACAGACACTGTAAGAGATGGTGACAGAGGCAGCCACTAATGTTGAGACAAAGGAGCTCTGGAGAGCCCCCCACCCATCAGGGTATCCCAGCATTTCCCTGCAGGGAAGGATTCCCACTATGTACTGGGTGCTTCCAGGGTGATAACAAAGAACAGAAGCACCAGAGCAGGACAGAGGACTAGCCCATAGCTATGATCCTCTCCCTCCCACTTCCCAGCTGGTTCTCCACTCTTCTCTCTGATTCCCAAAAAAATCCATCACGGGGGTCCGCTTTCCCTGAGGGAGGGATGGGCAGTGGTATCAGTCCTACAAACTCAGGCTGTCCTTGCAGGTGACTCGCCACAGCTGCAACAGAAACGAGATGCACCAGGTGCTGACTGAGCAGGAGGGAGAGAACGAGACGCGGATGTGGCACAAGAGGTTCCTCCGCCTCATCCATGGGTGACGCACGGCAGGGCTGGGTGGGAAGTGCAGGGCTCCAAAGCCAACTCTCTGCAGCTCTGGTGAGGCAGAGAGCCTGAGCAGACTTGGACAGCTCTTCCCAGACCCCTCGCAGGCCAGCCAGCTCATCACGGCCAGGTCTCCCCCTCTGAGCACCCTTTCTGCACCGTTGGCAGAGCCTCACTCCGCAGGGTCCTACTGTGACACCTGCTGGAACTCCTCCCAAAAACATTTTCCCCAGCCAAAGGAGCACCGGAGAAGGCATCACCCCTGAGAACCTGGATGTAGAGCCCCTGGCCCAAGTGTTGTTGAAGTCCCCAGGCACCTGTTATTGCCCTCCCTCTGTAGCCCTGTACCAGTTCGTGGCCCCCCCCAAAGGATGGATTTGAATCTCTACAGAGCCCGTTTGTTGCACGAACCTCGTTGTGTCCCTTCTGTCTGCTGTGACGGCTCCGTGACACCCCTCAGGGACCGCTCTCCCACCTGAGGTGGGTCCCTGCTCCCCTGCTCCATCCCCTGGCTCCCTGCAGCCCATGTGGCCACTGAGGGGGCAGAGCCAGGTGCCCTCCAGGTCCCAAAAGCAGCCCGTGAGGAAGGTGATGCACGCACGTCGCTTTCCACTGCAGCTCTTTATTCCTAAAGTTGAAGGGTTTACGGGGCCTGTGCCCTCTTGACTCTCCACCCAGAAAAATCATTCAGACCACTCTGGGTGTGGCAAGAGGCTGCAGGCTGGGGAGCACCCCTGGCCTTGTCACTCTTGGGTTCACCGTTGGACTCGAGGGGCTTGAAGGTCCTTTCCAACCCAGGTCATGCTGGTCCTTTCCAACCCTGGTCATTCTGTGGACGGCACCCCAGGGGCAGCAAAACCCCACGTCTCCTCCACTCCCTCCCATGCTGTGTGTGTGTGTCCCCGCTGCTTCCCTGTGCCCCCTCTCCCTGGGCTGCCCTCTCCCAGGCGTGCTGCTCCTCAGGGCCCGTGGCACCTGCACCCCTCCTTCGTGTGGGCCAGGAGAGCCCTGGGAGCAGCAGC